AAAATTGAAACAGAAAGATTTAGATATATCATACGAAACTATTTGAACCTATCTTCGTGCTCATGACATTAAACGGCGCATTACAATGAAAAAATTTCTGTTGACTGAAAATGTGACAAAATGACTCGTTTGAGCGCGCAAAACATTGATTGAGATTTCAGCGTAATTTTTCAATCAATGAATGTATATGAGCACGAAGCACAAACTTCGTGGAAAGCATACGTTTACTTTGAATCAGTTATCTCGCAAGATTTGTTCGATTTTGTCCTTGTCGCTAGAATACTCCGTCAATTTGGTCGAAAAATGCCTCGGAAATATTAGATAATTATCGACGCCAGTGGTGACTGGACGTATTACTAACATAATTGCATTTTTGTTCTCATCGAGTACAATGCATATACAAATTTGAAAATTTTATTTAGTACATTTTTTTAAATAAATTAACCCGGACACACTCTTACCTGACAGACTTTACATAGAGATTTTTAGAAGAATTTAGGATTTATTTTATTTTTATTATGTTACGACTCTACTTTGATTAAACGGAAAATGTTATACTTAGACAGTGTTTACTTGTTAATTTTTTCTTATAAAGATTTGGAGTTTTTTTACACGTTTTAGTCTCAAATTTATTGACGTAGATCAGACGTACGTGCAAAACGTAATTCTACATCTATTTTCGGAATCGTTTGGAAGATTTCTCATGTTTGATTACATATTTATTTAAAATAAATTTTCCCGAAAAAATGAATAACCGTAATTTTATTGGGTAAGTTGGATTTATATTAATCAATCAATGATTATTAATTTATTTTTGTTTATTCCTTATTTTAAAAAAGTATTCTGTTATTCGCGAAACGGAGAAATTTTGGAGTCCACCCAATATAGCACTCAGATAATTTGACATTATTATTTGCTTCGCAAAAGATGTGTATATACAGAAAGTGTCAATATAATAATCATCTTATATTTTGCTAAGTTTAGATTAGATTCGATTGCAACGCAGAAAATTATATTTGAGAAAAATTATATTTACTAAGTACTTATAAATAGTTAAATGCGTTTAACATATAAAATAATGTATTTATATTTATTTTTATTAATATCATTAATACATTAATAATTCGTTTGATTTAAATACAAAATTTAGACGAACAAAATTAAGTACTATAATAATTCTCCCCTAATTGCTGAACAGATACCGATGGTTACCATTGTGGAACAATATTACTGAACTAATAAAGAAGATTGTTGCAACAAATAGTGTACAATAATGATGGTAGGAAAAGAAAACTTTTTATAAAAATAGCTGTTGCACTATTAAATGTTATCACTATATGTACATTTGTACAAAAGAAGCACAAGTACATTTATAATATTTAATCAAGATTAATATTTATTGATGATACAAATTACGTTATTTGCCAATAACATAGAAAAAAAGATTTACAATTAGTCATGTATTTTATGCACAGTGCTAAAGTATTCTTTATTTTTTGTAACACATAAATTTTTATTAAATATTTTTAATTAAAAATTGTTTAAATACAGAAAACCATTATCAAAGCCATATTTCTTCATCAGTACTGACCTTTGACATAAATGCTAATTACACTCAAACTTTACACTTAGCATCCGTACATTCTTCTGATTTTTGTAACGTCTGAGTCGCTAAGGCCAACTCTCTGACCGAGTACATTATCATTGACTGGAAACTGAAACATTTCAAAAATTAAACCAATATCACTACAAAAATTATTCTTATATGTGTTTAAAACATACATACATAGATGTAATGTAAACAATGGCTTTTTTCTATTTTAGAACGGTGAATTGGTAGTTTTTATCTATTTCTGTTCAGAAATTAAACTCTAACAAAGGAATCAACCGTCTCACGACGCATTAAGACTTAAGACATTTATAAAATTAATAATTACTTACCTTTGTATAAATGGTTGGTACATTGGGATCTCTGGCAAACGCGTACTTTCCGTAATGCATCACGCTAGCGTAATCGTAAACGACGTTAAAAGAGTTGACTTGATCCGGGTTATACTTGTTGAAATTATGCTGTAGGTCTAAATATACAAATAATATACAGAATAAAGATAGAAATTTATAATGCAGATCTACAGAATAATCTTAGTAAATTAACTTTTTACTTTGTTAGAAAAGTCTTATTTAGACATAATAAATCGTTATCATTGATACAACATTAATAATTATTAAGTTTAAAAGAAAATCGTTTGAAATTCTCTAAAGTCAAAATGCAGATAGGAGACAGAGGAAAACTGTTGCTCTAAAGACGCATACACTGTTTTAATATATAATTACAAAATTAATTGATATCTCAGATATTAATAAATGAAAAAACAAAATACATTTAATTAAATTAAACGTTTACATTTCAAGTAAATTAATTAATTCTTATTTAAACTTTGTAGTTATAACTACATACTTTGTGGGATATTATTCCAATTGATGGACACATAATTATCTCGGTCATCTCTAGATTGTTCGTGCCAAAAGCCGACGGCGTGGTTCATCTCATGTACGGGGATTCCTACGTAATATGTACAACCAGGAGTCTGCAAGTTCACCTGTTGTCTACCGCCTAGCCTGCCAACGTAACTCCAGCATCCAGAATTATCGTTTCGAATGTCGATATAATCATATTGGTTCGTCCTTGGTACAAATCGTATGCATGTCTTACTATGAAAATCGTTCATCGCACGATATATATTATTCATTTGATCTTGATCTGCAATGCAAAAGTTA